GCTACAAAACAACAAAGAGTCAGAACCACAGGTCTGAAACATAGACGGAGCAACATGGAAACAAACATGTCCTGATAAGAGAAAATCAGCAGGAGGAGAGTTTGTTATAGAATCATCATTCAGTTAGAGGAGATCCTTTATTCAGACTTTGATCACGGTTCCTTACCGATGGAATCACAGGGTAATACGTTAGAGCAGTTTCTGACCCAAAGCTGGATAAGTAATAAACTCCCTGTAAGAAGAACAATGTAAGCATGTTTTACTCTTTATACAAAAACATCACAAGAATACTTTAAATTGCATCAGATACAAAATATTAGATAAGCATCGGTGGTCTGTGGTGATTTTTTAACCTAACATAAACATTTTGTGGTTAATTGTTTTCTTTGAAAGTTTAATAATAATTGAAAAAAATAGATTGACTTAATGTTGAAGAACTTACAGATCCAGATCTTATGTAAACAAAGCATTCCATGGTGGTGTTTATGGCTGGCACATTCTCATGAATGGCAGATTCTAGATTTTCATCCCTTCCATAAACAGCAAACTGTGCCCCCTCCGTTTTTGGTCCCACCAAACAGTTGCCTTTGGTCTGAGGGTCGTAGAATCCGTCGAAACAGCTCACTAAGTTTTCACTCGTAAAGTTCACCTGGAAGAGTCAGAACCAGAAAAGACTAGAATCAACATTTCTAGGACAAGCAAGTCATCTGTAAACCTGGATGAAAAACATGTTTGAGAGTAAAACACTGTTGAAGGTCCCAGAAAAAAATAATTATTACACATTTTTTGTTTAACTTTCAGACTGAAAAAACTATAAATCAATTTGATTTGAATGAAACCTGGACTCTCAGCTGTTGGATGGTGGAGTCATGAGTAACACCTGGCAGCTCAACTATTTAAAGGTTTTGCAGAAAGGTTTAAATGTTACAATAAATTGATGCTATTTTTTCACCTTTTAATGCCATAAGCATGAAGTAATGATAACTATCAGACATGTGGATAAAACTCTGGGAGGTCTTAGCTCCTGATCTTTAGAAAGTTTTACGTTTTTAAACCCGTGCAAACTTGTTTTTGACAAAGAAGCTGCAAAGTGATTCACCTTTTGCAGTTCAGCAGACAGCGAGTGCAAAGATTGCATGTTTGCCTTCATCAATATACTGATCATATTTTAATAACCAAACTGTAAATTAATGGGTGGAGGAAATACAAATATAAACATTTACCATGTGCAAAGGGATGTTTTTAAATCTGAAACTCAACTGCAGTTTTACCATCTTTATTAGTCCTCCTGATAGTCAGGTGCAAACCTGGACACATAAATGTTGCCTGAATGTATTTAAGCTCCTAGTTTGTCATTTTTCTCGGCTGCATTCTTCTCTTTTCATGTCTGTTTCTCCATTAGAGTCTTTCTTTAACGACCCGCCCTTCCTGCTCCAAGTTTTCCTGATGTTTTTATTTTAAGTACCCTGGTGTCAGATTAGTCTGCCTCTAATAGTGTCTACCTTTTTAACACCCATTTAAAAGTACATGAAACTCAAGGTGAAAACAGAACAAATATTGTGGCTCATAAAAACCTT